TATATATATATATATATATATAAGGCAAAATTCATTGATAAAAAAGAGAGGATACAAAGGTTTTAGTGAGTGGGTACAAAAATCTCACTCACAGGGATTACAAACATATTCCCCAAAAATAAAACAAAAAGAAACAACTCCTAATCATGGTGGGTGTAGTCGGTGAATCTACCGCTTCCTCTTCCCCTAAATCTAGGGAGGGAGTCCAACAACATACTTAGATATGGGCTTCTGGCCGAAACAATGATACAATCATCCTGAGAGTTACTGAGATCTGGTATTCCTTTCTTCTTCTTCTTCCTAGATTTGTAAATCTATCAATCATTTGTCAGAGGAAGTCTCGTGTGAACAATAGGTGGATCTTCGATGAAGGTAAACTGCTGATCTGACTCAACCTGCAACACATCTTGATCTTGACACTCCTCCATAACATGAATACCCTCTTCTCTCACAGTAGGTGGATCCAACCCACTTCGACTAGCATCTGCTACAAAACAATTCGTAGAGTCTGTAATGTGAAGAGGAACTGCCTCAACAACAGTAGGCGGAATCTGCTGATCTGGTTGGTGAGGAGTTACCTTATGAGTTAAATTCTCATTCAACATTTCTAAAAAATCAATAGTGTCTGCTATATTTTCCTCCACATGGATAATGTTTTTAGGACCTACTGATCTCAAATATGAGTGAAGCCTAAAGCATTTGACTAGGGTGTGCCCAAACAACTTACAGTGATTGCAATAGTATGACTTTTGTTCAGCTCTAATTAGCTGTCAATACCCATTGTGGGTTGTACCAAGCCATATTTCATTCACATCAGGGAGGGTGATATCTCTTTCAACAAGTATTCTTGCAACTGAAGGCCTGGTTAGATTGAAGGTGGGTATATCCAATTTCATAGGTCTCCCCAATGCAGCTCCAATAGAGTAGAGGACTTGGTGGTTGACATAGTGCAACTTTAAGCCAGATAATTTAAACCAGATTGGAACTATAGGTGGTTCTTGACTAGCGTCAAATTTAGGAGACCACTTGAGCAGTTTCATATATTTTCCCTCTATTGTCATAAACTTTTTGGAAAATATTTTGGCATAGTCTTTCAATTTAGATAATTATATCATCACATGTTTTCCATAAAAGAGGCCAACCTTCGAGAGTCTCAATAGTTTGAGATCTTCAAAAAATCTTTCGGATATATA